GCTTTAGTGTTGTCTCCTAGGTGGCTGCTTGCCCTTACCAAGAACTGTTCTAGGAAGGGCTCAGACATGCCTTATGTTTGTTATTTCTCATCTCACCATACAGAATCACCCCAATAAAGGTAGCAACACATAACACAGAGCAAAACCAAGTCCAGCAATGACACCACGTTCCATAGCGTTCGCTTTCACTTCACATCGCCTTTCATTTGTCTTAGAAACGGTGGCCGGGAGGGAGACCTCACTCGAAAAAGTGGTTTCCACTTCACCTCCAAGAAGTTGGCTAAAATTAAACTTATCTCAGCATGGGCTGCTGAGGATGTGGAAGGCACCCAGAGCTGGCGGGAGGGTAAAATGGTGCTGGCGTGGGCAAGGCTGACGGCCTGGTAGATCACCGAGGCCCAACACGGGTGACCCGTGACCGGGCCAGCCCACTCTTGAGGATGGATCCAACAGAAACGCCCGGATATGTTTATCAGAATGCTCCTGAATGTTCACAGCAGCGGTGAACCCCAACAGGAACTACCCAGATGCCCACCCTACAGTACGGTCACATAAGAGAGCACCACTCAGGACTGAGAACGGACAATCTACAAACACACATACCTGTCATGAAAGAATTTCACTAACACAGGGTGCATGAAAGACTCCAGAGACAAAAGAGCACGCGCTGTATGAGTCCTTTCATGTGAAGAACAAAATTGCTGAAACTCAGTCCATGGGGATCGAGGACAGAAGAGTAATTGCCTCTGGAGGGGGTCTTGACTTGGCATGGGGAACACTCAGTACCTTGATTGGGGGGGTGGTTGCTGGGGTGTACACATAAGTAGAGATCGACTGAGCTCACGCTTAAGATCTGTGTACCTTACTGTGTTTTATACCTGAGTAAAAATGTTTGCCAAGCTTTAAATGAAGGCTTGAGGCAGAAGGTCACCTCCACCCAGGACACGGAGACTGAATCTACAGTATATGGGCTTCCTGGCTGACACCTTGATCCAGCCCCAGTCAACTGCAGTGATGGAATAAATTTCCCTCAAATGTCTGGCAGAACGTTGCCACTGGAGGCCGTTTCTGCCCTGTCCCCGTCCCCCTCTCCCAAAACCTGGGCAAGCTTATGACTGTTTCGACCAGTGGAGGGTGACAGAAGTGACCCTGGCTGACTTCCAGGGCTAGGTCATAAAGTGGGATGGCTTCCCCTGACTCTCTTTCTGACGTGTGTCTTTGAAACAATCGTGTAAGGAAGCTGGCTGTCCCAGTGCCACCATGCCCTGGAGACAGACCGTGCAGTGAGCCCACAGAAAGAGAAAGGTACCTGAGGAGCCCCAGCTGCCCAGCATGCACTGCCCTTTCATGGGTCCCAACGGATGCCATGTGAACAGAGACCAGCTACCCCGCTGCAGAGTCACAAAGCCAAATAAACTGGTGGTTGTGTTTCACGCCTCTGTGTTTGGGCTGGGTCGATATGCACCAATAGGCAACAAGAACACTTAGTAACTTCCTTCCCCAGGGCTTCCTCTGGGCCCTCTCCGCTCCACTCACTCCAGCTGCACCCAGGTACACTCGGTTCCCTCCTGCAGGAGCAAGCGAGCTCCCGGTCTGCATGCAGAAATCTCTTCCAATCTCCCAGGCTCAGCTTCTGCCCTGCCTCCTGCAGGAAGCCTGCCTGTCTGCAGTGTTGGGCAGTGCTGACAAGCAAGCTGATGGTGATAATGGGGGAGGCAGGAGTATATGGGAAATCTCTGTACCTTCCAGTCGGTTTTACTGTGAACCTGAAACTGCTCTAAAAAAATAAAGCCTATTAAAAAAAAAAAAAAAAAGCAAGTTGACTCTAAAAGTAGATTGTGTCTGCATTAAATTCCCAGATCTCCCAATTCCCAGCTGGGTCCCCTTGGGCAAGTTACTTAGCTTGGAGCCTCAGTTTCCTTGTCCATGAAATGGGGTGGTAATAGTGACTACTTCCCAGGTCTGTCGTGTGGATCATCTGTGGAAAGCCCTCAGAATGACCCCAGCACAAAAGAAGCATTCTACAGTGTTGGTGAGCGTTATTATTGCCCCAGGCCCTGGGGTCCTGTCATTTCTGAGCTCTGGGAGCTTACTCAGTGTGTCAGATGCACGGAACCCTAATATGTATTATTCATTTGCTCATTCATTTATTCTCCCCGTATTGCTGCCGTACCAGCTGTGTACCCGGCACCGAGCGAGGCTCTATGGATGCAGGGATGCGGAGGTGGACACCACATTAGCCCTTAGGGGCTTACATCCTATTAGGGATGGATGTGGACAGATGCATTGAAGAACTGAGAGATTTTCATGAGAGCCCTAACGGGCAAAAGTAGGAGGAAGAGACAGAGAAATAATGGGAGGATCTTTCCACAGGGCAGACAGGGAAACCTCTCTGAGGAGGGAACATGTGAGCAGAGAACTCAAAGGTATAGAGGAGCCAGTCATGAGAAAAAGGGAGGGAGGAGCATTCCAGACAAACTAGGGCAGAGGTTTCTTTGGGGTTCAAGTGTGCCAGCACTGAAGCCAGGATGAACGTGGAAGTGGGGTGGCAGGATCTGCTGGTCGTGGGCCTTCCCAGCAGACAGAGCCCTCGCAGATTGCAACAGCCGGTACTAAACTGAACACTTATTACACACAGGGCACTGTGTGTGTTAAATCCCTTCAACCTCAGAATAGCCCTAACTGATTGGTACTATTATCCTCCCCATTTTACAGATAAGGAGACTGAGGCACCAGGAAAGGGCTTTGAATGCAGGCAGTCTGGCTCCAGAGCCTGTGCCATGCTGCAGTTTCATTTTGTTCAGGCCTACCCCACTGCATGGGTGGGGGAAATTAAGTCAAGAAAGGAGGATCCAGCTCCCCAAAGTCCAGTAACAAATGAGGAGCAGAGTAGGGATTTCAACCTGGTTTCCTTGTCCACACGGAGACTGCTCATTCTCGCAAGAGCTTGTTGAAGTCAACAGCTTCCTGGTTGGGACCGGGCGGTCTGCCCATAACCTTACCTGATGGGCCTCCTCTCTGGGCTTGCGTGACATGTAATGAATTCAGAATCCAGCACAGGGTCAAAGCTCCCTCTGCAAAGCCAGTGGGATGATTATTCACCAGCCTTCTGGGCAGGACCGCCCACTCACCTCATCTCTACCCCTGGGGGTTCTGAGTCATGGGGACTTTGGTGAGCGGGACTGATGGCTTGGAATGGTGCAAGTTTGAGCAAGTGAGAGGAATGAAGGGCCCTTTGGGAACACAAAGTGAGATTTCCCACCCCTGGGCCTTTGCACTGGCTCTTCTTTCTGCTGGACCGCCCTTCTCTGTCTTGCCTCTTCCTGAGTTTTAGTTTTTAATGCCCCTGGGCAGAGTTGAGGATTCCCTAGTCCTACCGCTGCAAGCAATTTACTCTAAGGTGGTTAGTCCGGGGCACCAAACAGTGCTGCTCCAAGAGACTGGGAAGGCGACTGTGTTGGCAGGTGGCAGGAGGCTCATACAGGGCAGGGCAGGCCCCCACCCCTCCAGGCTTAGCACAGCACCAACAATATTGCCCACGTGGCTCCACGTATTTTAGCTGTTTCCTCATCTGGAAAATGGGGCTAATAGGAGAAGTCCCACAGACCCCAACAAATGGGTTTGTTGATTTAAGGGGCTATATATTCTGGAAAACAATTGTACATAATAAGTTCCATACATAATAAGCGCTTAAAACTGTTGGCTATTGTCATTGAACGCCAACTCTGTACCGAGCACTTTACATAAAGTCATTTATTTAACGGGTTTATTGTCTCCACTCTCAGGCCCACCCAGCACGGTGACCTCAGGGAAGGGGCAGGGCTAGGATTTGGCTCCTCCTGATTCCCCCTCCCAGCAGGCAACCCGGGCAATTTCTAATGCGCCGAGAGACTGTATCCAAGCGCCAGTAGTTACGGGTATAGACTTTATCATGGTGAGTGACCAAGAGTTTCCCAAGGGGGAAGGGGGAGTATGGACGCAGCGCTTCTCAAACTTACTTGGTTTTGACCACAGACCTACTCCCAAGCATTTCTGGATTCAGCCCCTCCTCTGGAGGAACACCCTTTGGGAAACATGGGGCCCCTGGCTTTCAATGAGACTTCATGTAGGATGGGTGTTAGCAGTGGCACCCTTACAGTTCAGACTCCCATCTCTGAGAAGGTGGCCGTGACCTCTGTCCTTTGTTGCCCACGCGGGGGCTGCCAGGTGCCAGAGCTGGCAGTCCATTTGGGGGCAACGAGCCCCAAGAGGACAAGCCCTTGGTCACTCGCCCAGGTCAGGAGCAGGCCAGAGGCCCGGCTGGGATGAGGATGGCGTGCTCCCAGGCAGTGCTCCCACACCGAGGGCGCCAGTGGCCCCACAGCCCAGCAGGGCCGTGGAAGTGCTTTAGACCGGGGAGGCCTCTGGGGGCGGCCTCTAGGGTTCCGTAAGCACCGGAGCCCTGGCCCCTCGCTTCACGGTCACGGAGCAGATAGGACTGCGATTGGGTGTGTGGCTCTGCACAGAGCCTGTGCGCTGTGTGCGTGGTCGTGCGGGACCCCCGTGCTGTGGGAGCTCCGTGCGAGTACGCCGAGCGCCGGCGGGACGCGCGTGCCGGGGTGCGCTGCGTGCGGGCGGGCCGCGGGCGGGTGTGGCCGCCGTTCGGGCTGCGCGTCTGGGCAGCCGGCGCCGCGTGCCCCGGGGAAGGTGTGTCCCGGCGCGGGCGGGGGGGCTGAGCGTGCGTGGTCGGTGCCCGCCCCGCCGGGAGGCCGGACAGGTGTGGGCGGGCCGCCGGGACCCCGCGGGGCCGGGGCCGGGAGCGCCGGCGGGAAACAGGAAGCGGGGGGGGGGGCGGTGAGGCGCGCGGCCGGAGGGCCGGGAGGCAGGGCGTGCGGGCGGACGTGCGGGTGGCTGGCGGGGCCGGACGTTCGGCCCGGGCCGGGGCGGCGATGTGGGGGGATCCGGGCAGCCCTGGCGGCCGCGGGGACGGGGGCGGAGCCCGGAGCGCCGCGGACACCGCCCCCCTGCGCCGGCGGAGCCGCCGCCCGGGTGCGGACCCGGGAGCCCGAGGCGACTGCGGCGTGCGGGGTGAGTCCCGGGGGCGCGGAGCGCGAGCGCCCGGCGGGGACGCGGGGAGGGGGCTCCGGGGACGACGGGCGGCTGCTCCTGCGGGCGACGTCCCGAGGTGGGGGGGGGGGAGATCGGCCGGCGCACCCCGCCCCCGGGCGACTCGGCCGACCCCCGCGCGCCTCTGGCCCGCAGACCCCGAGGACGCGACCATGCCGGGCGGGGCCGAGGCTGGGGAGGCCGAGGAGGAGACTGGGGCCGGCTCCGGGTCCGAGGCGGAGGAGGACGCTTTGTGGGAGCGGATCGAGGGCGTCCGGCACCGGCTGACTCGCGCCCTCAACCCGGCCAAGCTGACGCCCTATCTGCGCCAGTGCCGGGTCATCGACGAGCAGGACGAGGAGGAGGTGCTGAGCACCTACCGCTTCCCGTGCCGTGTCAACCGCACCGGTGAGCAGCGGGGGGCGCGCGGGGTCGGGCCTTCCCGGGGCTGACTGCCCCCCCCCGCCCCGCCCCCGAGCGCCGCGCACCGAGCCTTGGCGCTCGAGGCCAGGGGTTCTGGTACCCACCATCCTGCCTCCTGCGGAACCACCATTACGATCCAGCGGGTGTGTGGTGCCCACTCGGGCATCTGGGGTTTATCTATCTTGGACTTTCCTCCCACTTCCTGGGCCCACTTGAGAGCAGGGAGGTGGATGTGGTTGCCAGTGCAGTCTAGATGTGGGACCTCCGGGCATCTTTCCTGTGCCTTTTGATCTCCTGGGTTCTCTCTGCCCTCTGCCTCTGTGTGCCACACATTCCTTGGGGAGCCGTTTTTCCTTAAGTGCTCAAGAGACATCAAACTTTGTGAGGGTGCCCGTTCCCACAGGGTGTGTCTTTGAACTAGAGCTAGCTAGCAAAGGGATGAGGGTCTAATGGTGGAATTTCAGGCATTGACCGGTGGGGGGAATAATAGTATTTTACTTTGCGTTTGGGGTAGGGGGATTGCTGTGTGCACTTAAAAGGCAGGAAGTATTTGCTAGCCCCGGATCTGGGTATGTGTGTGTGTGGTGGGGGGTGGGCAGGCTGGGGGTTGGGGAGCCAGTTGAAACACAGGTGCGTGGCAGGAGGGTCCTGGCTTTCTTGGCTCGGGCAGACAGGCTCTGCCCACTGATGTGTTGAGACAGGCCCCTGTGTGTGTCACTGGCTCAAAAATCTGGGGAAATAAAGTCTAGGGAACGTGGGCCCTGGAGCATGGAGAGGGAAAGGGGAGGAAGTGGCTAGGCACTGGGGGAAGCCCTGCTCTTGACCCTGGGGCACCCCCTGCCACTCCCCAGGGCGCCTGATGGACATCTTGCGCTGCCGTGGCAAGAGGGGTTATGAGGCCTTCCTGGAATCGCTGGAGTTCTACTACCCCGAGCACTACACACTGCTCACAGGCCAGGAACCTGCCCAGCGCTGCTCCATGATCCTTGGTGAGTGAGTCCGCAGTGGGTGCTGGTGCCTGGGGCACCCATGCAGAGGTTCCTTACCCCATCCCTGTTGTGGAGGCACTTCTGCTATCCCTGTTGAACAGATAGGGAAACTGAGGCATGGAGAGACCGGAAGCAGTTTGCCCAAGTTGGGATTCTGATCCATTTCGTCTGAGTTCAGAGCCTGCACACTTAACATGGCTCTTTCCCCCTAAAATTGTTTTCGGATGCACACATGTCAGGCATACATGGGTTTATAGTTTCCTGTGTAAATAATTCAGACACCCCGGGTGACTTTAGAATAAAAAGAAAAGATCTTTACTTCTTCCTTCAGCTCTGTTCTGCTGGTGACAGTTTGTTGAGTCTCTTCTTTTCTTTGCATTTGCACACACACACACACACACACACACTTCACTTTTCCTGAGAACTGATTTTAGTGATTCTTGCACATCTGGTGCATTTATCTGAAATGACTGCACAAGTTCCTTAGTGATATTGTGCCATAAGTCATTTAACCGACCCCCTGTTCATGGACATCTAGGTTGTTTCTGGTTTTGTAACATGTACCAGTGATGCTGGGAACATCTTTGTATGTGTATATTTGTGCAAATGGGTGTCTCAGGAGGAGAGGTTCTGGGAAGTAAAATTTCTCAAAGATTGTACGTATTTTAAGGGTTAAATCAGTGTTCATCCCACCAGCAGGGTATGAGTGCCCATTTTGCTGTATCCTCATGAATCCCGGGGACCATTTAAAAATGTTTTTGGCAGTCTCATATGTCAAAAATATCTTATTTTAAATTTGTACTTCATTGAGATGTCATTCACAGCTTACTAGTTAGTAAACCTTGGGAAAATGACTTGACCTTTCGGTGTTCCAGTTTTTTTGTCTTTCAAGTGGTTGTAACAATAGTATCTACCTTATACTGTTGTCATGAGGTTAAGTAAATTATTATATTTACTTAGCACAAAGAATGGAGCCAAATGTTCATGGTTACTATTATTATCATTATTGTTACGATTTTTATTGCTGGTGAGCTGGAGTATTTTTTCCTTTGTTTATTAACCAGTTTTGTCTTGGAACTTGCCTATTAGTTTTTGCCCATATATTTTTTGGTTTGTGTTTTCTTATTGATTCGTAGGAGCTCTTTTTATATTGTGGCTCTGAATCTTTTGTCATATTTGTTATATTTTCTCCTGCTCCACTTGTTACATTTGAACTTTTTTGTCACAGCTTTCATTGTTCAGAAGTTTTAGAAATTTTTATATGGATTTGTCCGTTTTTTCTCTTATAGCTCTTATTGATTTGTAGAAGCTGTTTATATATAGTGGCTCTGAGTCATCTGTTACGTTTGTTATACTTTCTCTTGTTCTGCTGTCTATCTTTTAACTTGTTTTGTTACATCTTTTCTTACATTGTTCAGAAGTTAAAAAAAAATTTATATGGATTTGTCCATCTTTTCTCTTATAGGTTCTAGATTTTGTACCTTGATTAGGAAGGCCGCCTCTACTCCAGAATGCTAAAACAACGTACCAGAATTTCTGTCTAGTGTTTTCACGGTTTGGGTTTTTCGGTGCAGGCTGCTATCCCCCTGGATTTCATCGGCTTGACCTGACGTTTCTCTCCCCTGTCCCTGGCAGATGAGGAGGGCCCGGAAGGCCTGACCCAGTTCCTGATGACGGAGGTGCGACGGCTGCGGGAGGCTCGCAAGAGCCAGCTGCAGCGGGAGCAGCAACTGCAGGCTCGGGGCCGGGTGCTGGAGGAGGAGCGGGCGGGGCTGGAGCAGCGGCTGCGGGAGCAACAGCAGGCTCAGGAGCGCTGCCAGCGCCTCAGGGAGGACTGGGAGGCGGGCAGCCTGGAGCTGCTGCGGCTCAAGGACGAGAACTACATGATCGCCATGCGCCTGGCCCAGCTCAGCGAGGAGAAGAACTCCGCAGTGCTGCGCAGCCGGGACCTGCAGCTGGCGGTAGGCCCCAGGGAGGGGCGGGCGGGGAAGAGTGGGGAGGTGACCTTTGCGAAAACTGACCCGTCATGGGGTAGCCGGCCTGTGTCCCAGAGCCACCGTCTCCCAGCTGTCGGACCACGGGGCAGGTCCCGTCCCCATCCTGTGCCTCAGTTTCCTCATCTGTAACACGGGGGAGTTGGTAGCCCTGATGTCGTTGAGTTACGAGGGTGGTTCTCAACGGGGGAAGCATTTGGCTGTGTCTGGAAACGTGTTTGGTGCTCCCAGCGAGGAGTGTGCTCTGGGCCTCAAGGGGGGGGAGCCCCGGGATGCCACTGGGCAGCCTGCAGAGCACAGGACAGCCCCCACGGCCAAGAATTACCTCGCCGAAGAGGTTGGTAAGGGCCGAGGTGAAGAAGCAGCCTTGGTTAGTGAGGATTCTAGGAGTTTAAGACCCAGAGTTTGAGACACATGAGTGTCTGGCACCGTTAGCACTCAGACCTGGATGGTTGTCGGCAGCTGTCATTAAGTGCGACCGCGCTCCACCACCACCCCGGTTATACACGTCATGTCGTGTGATTCCCGCTGAGGCACCAAGCACCAGGTTTCATTTTGAAACATAGGCACCGAGGCCGGGATTGCGGAGGTACTTGCTCAAGGGCACAGAACTGGGAAGCGGCACAACCTGGCTTGGCACCAGGTCCGCCCGGCACCCACGCTGGCCTCCGCTGCGTGATGCTCTTCTGCCCGCTCCCATCCAGGGGCGGCTGGCCTGCTCCTTCCCAGTGGTGAGTGTGCCTGCACCTCGTCCAGGCCAAGAAGCTGAGCCCGCCTTCTGGGTTCCTTCCTGGGACTCAGTATGGGGGTAAAGCTGGTGTCTTCCCGCTGCAGGGACTTGTCCAAAGGGCTTAGTGAGCGAATGCTTGTCCAGGGTTTAGCAGTGCCAGTGGCACCCAGGAGGCTCTCTCCAACGATACAGTACGAGGTCCATGGGGGTGCTGCTGCCTGTGTGATTTGAAGCCCCCTGTCGCTGCGGTGCTGCGGGTGGGGTGGGTTCCCGGGGACGATGGGTGGCCCGCGGGAGGCCGTAGGTGCTGGTGCATCGGTGCACCGGAGCCTGTGGCTGTGCGTGCTGGCGGGTTGACGTTTGGGGAGGAGAGAGTCCTGATCGGGGGCGTGGAGGCCACTCGTTGAAGACTGCCAGGAGTGCTGAAGAGCGTAGGTGGCCGATGGGAGGATGTGAGGCTGTCCTCGGAGCATCTGCTCGGTGTTTGGCATGAGATGGGGCTGTCTGAGGCCTGTAGTCTGGCGGCAGACTGAGCAAAGGTGGCCCTGGCAAAAGGCTTCCCTCCCTGTGCCTCAGTTGCCTTCTGGTCCTTGCAGGAGGTCACGGACGAGGCTGCTGGAACCGCGGTCCCACACCTCCCGCCTCAGGCATGGTCCTCTGTTTGCCCTGCACCAGCTCCCTGACTTCAGCAGCTCCACCGGGAGAGGCCGGTGGGGGGACACACTGTGAGCGCCCCCGTTTCTGGATGAGGAAACTGGCTCGGGGAGGTTGGTTAGAGCACTTTCCCGGGAGCCCAGGAATGAAGGATTTCTGACTTTGCTGTCAGCACTGCTGGGGCCAGCCTAGGGTCCCCCCTTCTTTGCCGTGTCTGCTTTTCCTGAGACGGATGTGGGGTGTGCTGTGAGGTTTTCCTGGAAGAAAGGGGTCAGCTACTCAGAGGGGACAGTGGGACAGCCACCAGCCCCGGGGTGTCAGGAGGGGCATGGCTTGTTTTGTCTTTGGGTTGGGTGTAGTTATGAGTTGGATCCCCTGAAGTGGCAGATGTGTGTATATGCCCGGGGGGATGTTCTCTGTGTGTGTGTGTGTGTGTACAGCTGTCTGGGGTCTCCTGGGGTGGGGTAGGGGGATGAAGAAGAGGTGTTGGAGGTGCCTCTGTGTGTCTGCAGATTAGCAGCAGGTGCATGTTCGTATGCCCACCTCGGGTTGAGGTCATCTGCCCCTGGGCAGATAGTGACCACTTTTCCCCGGTTTAGGGGATAGAGGGCAAGGGATGAACTTTAACCAGTAGATAAGATTTTCTTTGAACGTAGCTAGCGTAAATTTGCCTTAACTTTTCGGAGCTTTCCTGCCACAAAATTAACCAGAGGTGTTGCAGGTGGAAATGAACAGAGTAGCTGATGGCACCTGTCTTGGCTGCTTGGGTCCCCTCCCCCCACGGGCAGGTGTGTGGTGGCTGAGATTTAATACCGTGTTTTATAAGGTGCAAATTTAATGAGGTCTTATTTCTGAGCAACGTAAACTTCAGGACCGAACGCTGTAATTTTGTGCTCAGTGAGTTTGTACGCCAGGATTAGAGGCATCCGCGTTTTCTGGTGTTTGGGGGAAGACTCCCAAGTGGCCTGTCCTCTGAGCTCATCGGGGGCGCCTGCTGGCCGCAGGGCAGGCCGGAGGCCGTGGTGTGTGGGGGCAGTTCACTGGAGAGGGTGTGACCACACTTGCCCTTGTAACTAGCTTTCTCTGGCGGTTCACAAAGCATGTTTTGTGAGGGGAAAGGAATGTGAGAGTCATGAATTTCTTTCTGAGTCCTTTGTGGAGGAGGAGTGGAGCTGCCTGACCCAGCATCCAGACCCGTGAGTGTGTGTGTGTGCGCGCGTGCGCGCGCGTGTGTGTGTTTGGCCACGCCTGGCTCTGAGGGGTGCAGGGCTACCAGCCATTTCCAAGAAAGGCCAGGGCGCTCCTAGGACACCAGATGTTGGCACACCTACGCAGAGCACCAGAGGTCATTGTGTCCTTGTCCCAACAGTGACTTCATTTTGTGGCCTGACACCTGCTGCTAGTCTTGTCACTGTCCGGCCACCTCAGACCCCACATGGGAAATAACTCTGGCCGGGTGCACTCCTCATCCAGCAAGCAGACTGTGTCACTGTCGGCCAGGCCACCACGCAGCTGCCCACCTACCACGCCACCCCCCCCCCCGCCCCGGGCCAGCTTCCAGCGGCCCACACTCAGCTGGTGACAGGTTGGGGTTCTGGGATTTTAGTGAAGGCTGTGAAGACAGCCACCATCCTACCCCTGGCAGTCCAAAAGCCAGCCTCTGACAGTTTAAAGGCCTCTACCCGTCCACTGTCATGCTGAGTCCGAGGCAGAGCTGGGCCCAGACGCCAGCTCTCCCTGTTCCTGGCGCAGCCCAGCTCTCCTGTCGCGCCGGCCCCTGGATCACCGGCGCTCCGTGTTGGAGCTGTGGGACAGACGAGCCTGTGGGGATGCGCTACACCCGCCCCCAAGTCCTTGAAGCACAGTCCCCTGGGACTCCCCAGCCTGTCCCTTCCTCATGGACCAGTCCGGGGAGGACTCCTGCTCAGGGAACCCTGGAGGCAGGGGGAGTTGAGAGGGTGATATCTCTCCCTGTGCCCCGGCCGGTGGCCCCTCCCCGGGCTCCGTCCCTCCTGGGGCTGATCCTTGTGTTGGGCCCTAGGTGGATCAGCTGAAGCTCAAGGTGAGCCGGCTGGAGGAGGAGTGCACCCTGCTGCGGAGGACCAGGGGGCCGCTCCCCGGGGCCGAGGACAAGGAGCCGGACAGCGTGGACCTGGTCTCCGAGCTGCGCGCCGAGAACCAGCGGCTGACCGCGTCCCTGCAGGAGCTTCAGGAAGGCCTGCAGCAGGTACGAGGGGCAGTGAGGGGGAGTGTGTGTGGGGAGGTCAGACCACCAGCTGCTCAGTCATCCCCCTGAGGCCCGGAGGATGAGGATTCTGGAGTGGAGATGGAATCCTGGCCAGCGTCTTGTCTTAAGCCCTGAGTGGAGGGTCCTTAGTTAGCACTCAGCTCTCCCGGGGTGTTTGGTCTGGGGCCTGGGGGTGGCCCCAGGAAGTCTCTGAACTTCCCGAAACGGTGCACCTGATTTCGTGTGAGCACTTTTCTGGGGAGAGGCCTGTAGCTTTCCTCAGATTGGTAGAGGAGTCTCTGACCCCGGAAAGGTTCAGATCCCTGAGTCTGGGTGGCCCTGGGGCTCGCTTGGGGTCCCGTGGCTGGTCTGTGGCGGGTCAGTGGCAGTGTGGGCCTGCCGCCTGGGGGATGGGAGCCGGGGCTCTGTTGTATTTCACACCCCGGCTGGGGTGTGGGTGTGTGGGCTGGATCTCGGGCCCATGGTCTACCCACCTGCGCCAGGCTCAGCCCCTGTGAAGACCCCTTGTCAGAGGGGTGGGGACAGGCTTTGGAAATAGCACCCGTCAGCTGCCCTGGGCGGTGGGTGGGGGCCAGAGCAAGAGTGAGCGGGCTTGGTTCTTGTTTAGGAATAAAATCCGGGCCAACTTGTGTAAGCACGCCCTCAGCCACTTACTTCATTTCCACCCCAGTTGCTCCCTGGAGGGTGTGCAGGGCTGTGGGCCGCACCCACTCTACAGACGGGGAAATGGAGGTCCAGAGGGATTGAGGCCCTCGGCCAAGGTGGCAGAGCGAGTGGGGCGGAGCTGAGGGCCGTGTGTCCCTCTCCCTCCTGCCTCAGTCACGGCAGGCCCTGGGCGAGAGGTTGAGGCGGCCTCTGAACTGTGCTCCTCAGGAAGCGAGCAGGCTGGGGGCCCCAGGCTCAGAGCGCATCCTCCTGGACATCCTGGAGCATGACTGGCGGGAGGCTCAGGACAGCAGGCAGGAGCTGTGCCAGAAGCTGCATGCCGTCCAGGGGGAGCTGCAGTGGGCTGAGGAGCTGCGGGACAAGGTAGCGTCCCCCTCGCGCCCCACCCCACCATCCTGCCTTGCCCCGGCCTTGCCCCCGCGTTCCTTCTTGCTAACAGCCTGGCTCCTAGGGAGGGGGGGGTACTGCAGCCCACCTACTCTGAGCGTCTGCTGTGCGCCAGGCACCGTGCTAAGAAACATGCGTGCGTTTGTTCTCGAATGTTGAGACATTGCAGCCAACAAAATGAAGGTTTCTGTTCCTGTAGAGGGTAAATTCTCATAGGGGAGACCAACAGTACTCTGTGCACATAATCCTAAGTCAGTTACTTCACATAGCAGAGGGCAAGTGCTGGGCAAGAAGCAGAGCAGCAGGTCAGACCCCGGTTTAAATGGGGAGGCCAGGGTGGCCTGGGAGGGTGTCATTGTTAGGATTATCCCCATTTTACATGGTAGGCCACTGAGGCCCAGGGAGGGGAAGTCAGTCTGTGGCCCAGGCCACCCAGCTGGGGAGGTGGGCCCTTGTGCTTGAGGCTCAGGCCTCTCTTCCTGGACCCGCTGAGCACCTGCTGGTGAGCTTGCCCCGGTGCCCAGCCCCGTGGTCTGACCCGGGTGCTTGTCCCGGCCGGCTCCACCCCGCCCGGCCTGCAGTACCTGCAGGAGATGGAGGACCTGCGGCTGAAGCATCGCACGCTGCAGAAGGACTGCGACCTCTACAAGCACCGAATGGCCACGGTCCTGGCCCAGCTGGAGGAGATCGAGAAGGAGCGGGACCAGGTGAGGCCAGCCGCTGGTTCTCATACTCGGGGGGACGAGGAGAAGTAGGACTAGGAGTGTAGATGGAGACTTTCCTGGTGCTCGGACTGGTCTGGGAGGGGCAAGGAGGCCCGCAGAAGCACAGACTCTGGCCTTTAAGCACTCGAGATCCATCAGCCCCGCCCCCTGAACACACCTGCCTCACCTGAGCTCCGCGTTCAGGAAAGCTGGTCCTGGCACCTGTCAATTCCAAATCCCTTCTTCCCTTCATGTCAAGGACAAGGCCAACACGGGGAGGCACTTGCAAATATTTGCCGGCGAAGAAATTCGCTGGAGTTCTGACTCCTGGGCCCTGGGTCTCATGGTCTTCATCTCCTGAGGCCACAGGGCGGGCCATCTCCTCCTGGTCCCCTGCCTTCCTTGTGGAGGGCTCCCCATGCAGGGGGCAGGGCAGGAGGTTTTGTCCTTGCACCAAGTTCGAATCCCACTGGAACGAGCCTCAGGGACCGCTCGTGGGCATGGTGAAAGTGCAGGTGACCTGGTGGTCTGGGGTGGGCCCAGGACCCTGCACTGCCTCTGGCCCCCATGCCCCCTGAGGCATTGGGGGGCAGGTCCCGGCCATTGTCCAGCTCCCAGGGACCCTGGTCTTCATGGTGGGGACAAGCGCTTTGGGTGCGGTGCGCTGGGTTTGAATCCCAGCTGCTCCGCCAGCCCGGGATGCTGTGAGTGAAGCCCCAGGCACACAGTGGGTTTCCCAGAAGAGGCTTAAGTTGCTCTTGGGAGACGGCAAGAGCCTGGACTCGGCACCTCCACCGCCGGAGTTTGAATCCCAGCTCTGTCCCTGCTGGCTGGGCTGTCTGTAAAACGAGAATAAAAAGAACGTCCACATTGGAAAGTTTGTGTGAAGGTTAAATGAGCTCATATTTAGCACAGGGCACCCAGGAAGGGCTTACTACCTGTTAGCTGCTGGTCTTGTTGACCCCCACCCCATCCCAGAGGGTAGAGGGCAGGACAGTTGGGCCAGTGTGGCCCCTTCACCCTCGCTGCCTGCTCTCCCCAGGCCATCCAGAGCCGTGACCGGATCCAGCTGCAGTACTCCCAGAGCCTCATCGAGAAGGACCAGTACCGCAAGCAGGTGCGGGGCCTGGAGGCTGAGCGGGATGAGCTGCTGACCACGCTCACCAGCCTGGAGGGCGCCAAGGCCCTGCTGGAGGCACAGCTGCAACGGGTCCAGGGCGGCCCCTGCCTCAAGGTGAGCGGGGTCAGGGGTACAGGGGTTCTGGTGGGAATGCTGGGGTCCCGGCAAGACCTCTTGGCTGGGGTTGGGAACATGCAGGACCTGGTGGGAGACATCAGCCCCGGGGGTGGGACTCCACAGGACCCAGTGGGAACCCTCGGCTGGGCTCAGGAAGATGCAGGTTCCGGGAGGAAATACGTGGGTCCTGGCTGGAGCCCTCCCCCTGGGTCAAGAACCTGCTGGTCTGGGAGGGAGCCCTTGGGCAGGACGGAGAATACGCAGGTCTGGTGGAGCTTTCCGCTGGGGGTGGGTTGGTGCATCAGGGGACGGGAAAGGGGCACGTGTGTCTCCAAGTCTCTGGGGTTGCTCCTGGGGCACCAGGAATAGTAAAGTTTCTTTTTGCATATGCTTGGAGAAGCCCGGCTGCATGAAGGCCTGAAAGCCCCTCAGAGACCAGCTAGTCCAATTCCCTCATTGTATAGGGCCCAGAGAGTGTCAGGGGCTTGCTCAAGGTCACACAGCCAGCCAGCGCCCCTTTCAACCAGATATTAGTCCTTGGACCTCTGTCAGGAACTCTGCCTTTTCCTATCTTGGGTTTGCTTGAAGATGATCCCTTGGCCCTGCATTTGATGCATGAAGCCTGGAGGAATAGAACAAAGGAAGCATGAATCTGTCTCTTCTCACTTAAAATTCTCAGTGGCTTTTTTGTTTTTAGGTAAAGACAAAGCCCCTTATCAGGCCCTAGAGACCTGAAAGGTGGGCCCCTTCCTCCTTCGAACCTTGTTCTCTGGGTCACAATCTTTTAATTCCTGGATTGTGTCACAGTCCTGCCCCAGGGCCTTTGTGCATACCATTCCATCTGCCTGGACCATCCTCCCCAACTTTATCTGCTTAACGCCTACTTATCCTTGAGTCCTCAGTTCAAACCATATTTTCTCTAGAAAGCAGTCCGTTGCCCCCAGGTAGGTTGGGCCCTTTGAGTGCCTTCTCCACACTGGGCACCTTCCTTCTCTGCTATCTTGGCAGTGTGGGGTTATTTCCTTAATCAGCTTGCTTGTTTACAGTCAGTCTGCTCTAGGCTGTGAGCTTGGTGAGGGCAGGGATCCAGCTGTCTCATTCCCTGCTCTGTCCCTGCTCCTCCGGGCATGCAGTAAATGCCTGTGGCTGACCCTTGACCCTTGTCCCACCCTGCTCACCTCTTCTCTCCCCTTCCTCTCCCAGGCTTGTGCCTCCTCCCATTCCCTGTGCTCCAACCTCAGCAGCACCTGGAGCCTCAGTGAGTACCCCCCGCTGCTGGGAGGCCCGGAAGCAGCTGGGGAGGCGGCCATTATGGGGGCATCCGAGCCCCACACCTCGGTAAGACACCTGCCCTCCCCGAGTGTGGTGGGGGCGGGGTACGGATGCTAATAGTGTTCACGTGACGTAATTACTAACATGTGGAGTGCTGTCCAGTTTGCTGACAGTCCCATTTCACATGTGAGGACGTTGAGGCCCCCAAGTGCCTTAAATAAGCTCGCCCAGAGCCAGCTCAGTGCTGGGCCTGGGTGCCAGGAGACTTGGAACCCCCACTGTACTCTTGCAGAGCCCACACCTCCGCCCTGGGCCCTACTTGTCTGTCACCTGTGGAATGGGCACAATGTAGGGGTGTTGAGGTGTGGGAGATGCCGTGGAGGTGACCCATACCCTGTCGTGGCCCGTTGGCAGGAGGAGGCGACAGACAGCGAGAAGGAGATCAACCGGCTCTCCATAATGCCCTTCCCCCCAAGCGCTGGCTCCATCCTCCGCCGGCAGCGTGAGGAGGACCCTGCACCCCCGAAGAGGTAAACAGGATGGGGAGAAAGCAGTCGAGGCTCAGGGACGTGCTGCTGCTGTTTCTCCAAACAGCCATCTCCCGGAATCCCTAGCGCCAGCGTCAGGGCTGGGCCAGCACCTCCCTTGACCGCTCTTCAATGGCTGGGGCACTGGGGACTCAGGTCCCAGGAGTCACAGCCGTGACCCAGGTCAGGGGCTAAGACAAGGCCAGAGGGCGGAGTGGGCTTCACCCCTGCTGAGCACCCTGGCAGGAGAGCCCCTGGAGGGCAAGCCTCAATGATCCTAAACCCCAGGGGGATGTCTAGGTGGTTCAGGACTAGGGGACATGGAAAATGTTCCAAGGGGTCAGGGGCCTCAGGCAAGAAAGCCAGGCCCCACGTTCAGAGCGGCAAACGGGGTCCAGAAAAACCAGGCTGTGTCTGCTGGTGGGTGGCAAGACCAAGGGCAGGGGCTGGTATATGTCCCCTGTCACAGCTTTTTCCGGGCAAGTTGCCCTTGATTTGTTCCCTTACGGACGTTGGGCACAGGAGGCCGTGATCAACACGGACTTGATTGATCTGATGAGCGCGTCCCCCGTGACTAGAGTGTGTGATGAGGAAAGCACCTGGGAGTCACAAATGACAAAGGCAGAAAGTAGGGGTGAGGCGAGGGGTTGGTGAGAGGTCAGGAGAGGCTTCCAGGAGAGGGTGGCATTTCAGGACAGGCCAGGGGGCATTCTAGGGGGAAGGACGTGGGACGGAGGTCAGGATCTTAGCTTCTTGCCCTGTGAGTTGAGGGTTGCTCATTGGCACACTTGCCCTGTGCTTGGGACCCCCGCCTTGGCTGTAGCCTCTGTGTGCTTGGGGGCTGCAGGACCTCTTGGTGGCCAGGGTGCAGGAGGAGTGGAGTGGGGCAGAGTGCTCCCTGTGCCTCAGCTCCTGCCTCCCCCCCACCCCCAGGTCCTTCAGCAGCATGTCCGACATCACAGGTAATGACCCTCTGGGACTCCGTGGGGAGGGCTCATCTGTGGGGGGTGGCTTTTCAGCCCACCTGAGGCCTGAACTGCTGGCTCTGCCCTTGGCTCCCCTTCCTGAGGCCCCACTGTGCCCTGGCCAGGCAGGGGAGGCTGTGCTCAGGAAGACCCTGGGTGGGGAGTCGGGCCACGTCGCTCCCCCGAGCCCAGGCCTGCTCCTCTCTCCCATGCCTGGCTGTGCTATACGGGCTCCTTGGTCTCAGCCCGCCCTCCACTCTCTCCAGGGTCACCCTGGCCCAGCCCTGAGCCCCGCGGGTCCAGTGTGCTTCTGGGGCCTCAAACCTGCTAAGGTCCTGGGCAGTCCCTGGGCTCCAGGGGCTCACCCCCTTCTCACAGGCCCTGGTTTCTTGGTCTGGCACCCCAGAACCTCACTTCCTCCCCCCCCACCCCACCCCTGCCCAGGGAGTGTTACGCTTAAGCCCTGGTCTCCTGGCCTCTCCTCGTCTTCATCCTCCGATAGCGTGTGGCCTTTGGGGAAGCCCGACGGCCCCCTGGCCAGAGGCTGTGGCCTGGATCTCCTCAACAGGTACTGTGGCTGCCTGGGGTGGTGGAGCTGGGTGGGTGGGGGGGCGGAGGGACAGGGTCGGGTGGGAGTTCAGTGGGGGGGGGGGCGAGGGGGGTGGGAGGGTCAGGCTCCTGGAGCAGGGCAGGGGTGGGGTGGGCGGGAATAACAGCCCAGCCTTGGCCTCATGCACCTTTAGAATAGTCAGGCTTTTAGAGACCTGGGATTCAAATCCTGTCGCTGCTGCTCATCATCTGGGTGACTTGGGCTGGTCACTTCTTTATCTGGGTCTCCGTTTCCTCTGCCGAAGGCAGTCAGTGATCTCTTCGGCATGGGGGAGGTTTGGGGGTTTAGGACTCGTGTCAGGAAAGTAGCCTGCTTTGCCAGGCATGTTAATAGGTACTCAGTAAATGGTAATTGTTACTCATTTCCCCGGCTCTGAGCTCCCAGCAGAGCTTTGTGCTGTGGGTGGGGTGGGGCCACCATGGGAGCCCTGCAGCTGGGCTGGCCACAACCCGTGACAAGAGTCACGAAACAGATGGGCTCAGCATGCACTGCAGGCGAAGTGCTCTGTCAGTGTTGGCTGGAGGGTGACCTCCCTGGTCAGGCTCGCTGGTGGGTCCCGGGAGGGCAGGCGAGAGAGGAGGCCGTGCTGAGAATGTGGCCTTGGAACTCAGGTAGGGAGGGCAGCTGGGGAAGAGCAGAGGGCAGAGGCTGTCCAGGCAGAGCCCGGAGCTTGGCTCTGACTGGAGCGGGAGGGGGAGGGGGCCGGGCAGGCTCGGTGAGTCAGGCTGGCGGTGTGAGTCAGGCGGGAAAGTGTGGACTTTGGCTTCTACACTCTGCTCCGGAAAACGCGGCAAGGTTTGGCTGTTACGGCTGGCTGCTTCACAGTATTCTCTCCATTCGGGGAGGTGGGTGTTGTTAGGATCATCCCTGTTTTATAGGGGAGAAAATCGGGGCTCAGAGAGGTTAAGCCACTTGCCTGAGGTCGCACAGCTGGGAAGCGCCAGGGCCATGGTCCCCAGTGACCCGGTCAGATTTGGGTTTGGGAAAGGGCGTACGAAGCATGGACCATCAGAGCTGGACCCGTGGGGGTGCGGGATGCAGGGGATGGGCCACACAAGAAATTGGGGCAGAGCAGGAACAGGGGCCTGAGCAGCTCAGCCAGGCCCTGGTCCAGGCCCCTGCCCCCACTCTTGCCCTCCGGCAGCAGGCCCAGTACGACATTGTTTCTCCCTGTGCAGGACGTGCTTCTGGGGGAAGGGGCGGAGGCGCCTCCCTTCCTGCCTGCTTCCCTTCCTCCAGCTTGGCCTGCAGCAGGGGTCCTGGCTGCTGTCCAGGGGGCACCGGGGCAGGAGGTTCTGGCCCAGCCCCCGCCCGGGGCCTGGGATCCCAGGGGCCACCTCTGCAGTTCCTGGGGGGGAGTGGGGGGAGAGAACGGATTGGGGTGGGGGCAGGGTGGTGGACTGAAAGATGTGGATAGATTGGGGGGGAGCGGGGATCCCGGACTGGTGTGTGGGCTGCTGCCTGCATGCGTGCGTGTCCCGGGCCGGTGTTATGGGGCAGAGCACAGTGGGGAAGAACAGACATTGGGGCTCTGTCACTTGCTACAGAGGGATATTGGGCAAGTCACTGTATTTCCCACGGTCTTGGTTTCCAGCTCTGTAAAATGGGGTTGTCGTGGGGTTCCAGGGTCCCCATTAGAGTGGAGCAGTGCCTGGCTCAGAGCGAGTGGTAATGGTAGCTCTCTGCTCTTGTGATTGGTGCTGCTCAGTTCCCACAGAAGCCCTGCAAGGCTGGTGCGTTTAGCCCCATTATACAGGTGACAACACTGAGGCCCAGGGAGAGTCAGGAATTTGTCTCAAGGCCACTCGGTGGTGGAGTTGGGGATTCCGTGGTACCTTCCTTCCGGCTAAGCTATTTTCACCTCACGCTTGCGGTCTGTGCACACTGTGTGCTGGGCCTTTGCAGCCTCCCGGTCTCCCCTGCCCTTCTGGGCTCCTAGAGCCTTGGGGCAGGGCAGGGGATGCTGGAACAATGGGTGTGCTGGGGCAGGCTGGAGGCTGGATGGACACCCAGGTGGGCGGGGAGATAGGAAGAGCCAGAGAGTGTAAGTGGGGTGCTGAGGGGGGCAAGCGCTGGGCGAGGGTTGCTGGGTGAATGTCAGGGTGGGTCTCCCTGGCAGGCCCCTGCCCCCACCCACACTGGTCACATGGATGCCAAATCTCTGGCACCAGCTGCCTTTGCCCAGAGAGATTATTGCTCTACTCCACCACCCACTGGCTGGGCAACCCTTGTCAAGTTATAACTTCCCCGTGCCTCAGTTTCCCTCTTCTCTAACATGGAGGCTCACAGATGGTTCCCATGGGGCTGTCGGGAGGGTTAAATGAGGTAATTTATGTGACAGGCTTGAGTCTGAGCTTCATAGGTCCCTGGCCTGGAACAGAGCAATCATGTGCCCGGCCTAGAGGTCTTCCCACAGTGCACTGGGGCGGGGGAGCACTCATCCGGGTTACTCGGCCCATCACTGCTCAGAGTGGGCAGAGTGAAGGACTGGCCCCGTTTCCCTCTGCGACCCGACTCCTGACTGGACACGGCGGGGAGGGGCTGGGAGTTGGGGACCCCATCCTTCCCACCACTCACAGGGAGGGTTGGGGTCAGTCAGGTTGTGTTGCTAGAGACCCAGGAGTCCAGAGGTTGGAGCAGGCAGCCCCGCCCCGCCATGCACTTGTCTGCTGAGGCCTGGTGCTGAGAGGGACCCAATTGGACCTGGCCCCAGGGACCCCCCAGGTGGACACTCCCCCCTTCCCCAGGGGGCCATGGAGGCACAGAGAAGTCACATGGTCCCTCAGGGAGTCGGGCAAGGGTGTCCTGCCTCAGGGCAGTGCCTGAGCCGTGTTGGCCTGGGGTTTCAGGGATTGCAGGGCGGGGGATGGGGGTGGTATGCCAGGGCAGAGGGTGGGGGGCGAGCAGGTGGGACCGGGAAGGGCTGAGTGCAGGCTGCTGGCTGGGCTCTTGACTGGGGAAGCCATGATGCTCGGTTCTCTGTGGGTCTGGAACAGGTGGGGAAAGTGGGGCCACACCTAAGAACAGTAGATGTCCAGTTTTGATTGGGCACGCAGTGTTACCTGGCCACGTTCGAAGAGCACTCCACGTTTAATTGAGTCCCATGATGAGGTGGGTGGATGCTGCTGGGGCTGCGGAGGACCAGAGGCTGAGCAGCCAGGCCATCTGGCCCCAGAGCCCCTGCCGGTGCCACTTTCCTCAGACTCTCCTGATGGCACCCCACAGCGACAGACACCCAGTACACATGCCCGAAAAGGATCGCGAGACAATAGTTAGATTTACTCGAAGCGCGGCTGGCTTACATTTTCTATTCCATTCCAATCAGAAACAGCGCTGGCCATGACCTTGTGAATTTCACAACCCTCCTGGGGCCAGGCCTGCAGCTGGGTGTTCCCTGGAGCCCTCTGGTTTCCATTCTACCCGCATGATCTTTACATTTGTCTGACCGTCACACCTGTGGTGGGAGAAGATGCCATTACTGTCCTGGCTTTATGGATGTGGTGACAGAATCAAGCAGCCAGCTCACTTGTCCAAATCCGGGGCCCAGTTAATGCTGGGTGTGGAGCGACACTGTGTTTCTCCAGCCGCGGGGGCAACCTAGCCTGGCCCATCCTCCGGCCTCCCATCTCTGGCAGGGCTACCTCCATGCAGCCAGGACAGTCCCGGGCCGAAGGAGCCCATGAAGGCAGCGCGGATGCCTCTGCCCACCCCCTGACCCCGTCCAGCTGTAGCCCCTCGGGTTTGGCTGTTTTGACTGAGGGTGTAGAAGCCGGGAAAGGCTTGGGGGGTGGGGGGCGGTCAGAGTTCCCCGCTCCCCACTGGTGCTGATTGGGTTAAAGTCCCTGTAGCCTTGCTAATCCCATGCTGGCAGCAGGGGGCGGTGTGGCTGCGTGGGCTGCAGTTGTTGGGGGGGGCGGTGGGGAGGCGGGGGACACTCTGGCCTTTCCTCTTCCCTGATGCTCTGGCCTGGCTGGGGGGAGAGTCAGGGAAGGGAATTCCAGGCAACTGTCTCTGAGCTGGCCCCTGGGCCTTACCAGTTCTCTCCAGGGACAGGAAGAACACTGCTATCATGGGGATCTGGGTGACTCTGTCTTAACCGTCAGTGGTTTCCACTGCCCACAGGGGGAAGGCCAGACGCCTTCATTCTGTGCCCTCTGCAGGCTGGCTCCAGCTAGCCCTTTCTGGGAGCTGTTTCCCATGATGTTAAATTAGCTAATTAGGACAAGAAGCTTAGCATGGCGTCTGGCACATGGGGAGCACTCAGTAAGTGTTCGCTGTTGCTATTTTTACTGTTGTTACTGAATCCTTCCCCACATCCTGTATTCTGTCCTCCACACCTCTGCCCCGGCCAGCCCTTCAGGAACACCACCTCCTCTCTGTCTATTCCTGAAGTGCCTCTCCTCTCCACCACGGTGTAGCCCCGTGGCCTCTTCCTCTGGGAAGCTGCTCCCCTCTGTGCTCCCACGGCTGGCTGTAACCGTCCCTGGTCTGTGTTGTGTTCTAATGGTGACCTTCCTCCCTCAACTGTGAGCGTAACAAGCTTTTATTAGTTGTCTGCTGTGTGCCAGTCATGGTGTTTGGTGCTAGGGACCCGGAGCTGAGCATGATAGCAGACTGGTTCCGAGGGGGTTTTCTTGGCCAGGTGCAGATGGTGCGGTCCTACGGGAAAAGCTCTGCCTCACATGTGCAGGGGGCTGGGAGGGAGAGGTCGCTTTGGAACTGAGCTTTGCAGGATGAGCGGAATTCGCCAGGCAGAGAAGAGGGGGAAGGGCATTCCAGTAGCGAGGCAGCTGCAGTGGCCCCAGGGGTGGGAGTCATGGCATGCTGGGGGCATTGCTTCTCCCAAGAAGGTTGAACCACATGGAAATACTGACTGAACTCTAATTCCCCTCTCCCTTCTCTCTTCCCAGGTCTCTGGCCATCCGGGTGTCTTGCCGGAGCCCCCCGGGGGGGCCCGAGTCCCAGGACAAGGGCCCAGATGGCCTGTCGTTCCTTGGGGACAGCTGGTCTGGGGCCATGGTGCGGAGGGTGCTCTCTGGGCCAGGGTCTGCCAGGGCGGAGTCCAGAGAGGTGAGATCCTGCCCTTCTGCGTTGGGGGTGGAGCCAATGCATTAGCTGGGGCTGGAGCCCTCTGATTGGTGGATCTGGGTCACTGGGCGGTGTTTCTGGGGGTTGACCAAAGCAGAGGCAGGCTCAGAGATGACCCTCGGCTTGCCCTACCTCAACCAGCAGTACATTAAATCTGATCAGGCCGGTGGGCTGGGAGGTGGGGCAAACGGACAGCACCTCGACAGATCTCCACCCTTAAACATGGGAGAGACCAGGATGTGCCAGCCTGGATAGGGAGTCCTGTTGATGGGAGAAGGGCCTGATTGGATAGGCATCCTGGCAGGTGGGGGCATCTGAATGATGGGACATGTCATCCCCACCCCAATCTTCCTCCAGCCCCAGGGCTGTGTTGCCCTGGGAAGCTCACTTCTTTCCCTGCCTGCCTGGGTTTTCTCCCAGCCAAGGGCCGAGGCTGCTGGCCTGGAGGGGGCAGGTGTGGAAGGTGAGGTCCAGCAGAGAACCTTGCCCTGGAACCAGGTGTCCACGTTCCCCTTCCTGATGGACTTCAAGGGTAAGTCTGGTCCGGGGCGGGGAGGACCTGGGGACTCCGGGTCCTAGGGGGATGGAGCTGAGAGCCCAAAAGAGGGCTTGTCCAGCCCATTGTGTAGGTGGGACAACCAAGTCATGAGAGAGAGAGAGACAAGACACTTCGCTGCCTGACTCTTGGCAGTGCCCTTCCCTCCCGCACTGCGGTCCCCTTGCTGGTTGTCCATCTCCTCCTCAGTAAGGAGCTTACTGTGAAAGGAGCACTAGACAGGAGTCCAGAGACCTGGGTTCAAGTCCTGGTTCTGTTCCTAGTGGGCTTCGTGGCCTTGGGCAGCTGCCTGCCCTCTCTGGGCCTCAGGCTCTGACTTTAAGAGGGAGAAGGTAGGGTTTTGGCAGCCCAGGCCTTGAAAGGGGCATGTCTGTGGCCCGAGGCCGCTCCCTGACTTTGTCGTCCTCTTGCCCGCCCTGCTGCCCCTGCCCTTCCCACGTTCAGCCTGTCAGTCCTTCCACGAGGCCCTCGATGCCTGGACAAAGGGGCTGAGCACCGAGCCCTTCTATATCCGAGCCAACCTTACCCTGCCGGAGCGAGCAGACCCTCACGCCCTGTGTGTGAAAGCCCAGGAGATCCTGCGTCTGGTGGACCCGGTGTACAAGCGGCGGCAGGAGTGGTTTTGCACCCGGGTCGACCCCCTGACGCTGCGGGACCTGGACCGGGGCACTGTGCCCAATTACCAGAGGTGATGCATACCTGGGAGTCTGGCGACAGGTCCCACAGGGAGCCCGGAGCAGGCTGGGAGACTTTTCCCCTCTTCCTGCAACCCCTCACAATCCTCTGGGACAGGATGAGGGGGGCCGGAGGGGGCCTCCCTTTCTCCCTACAAATGCATGACGTGTGTCCCCCACCTCTACCCCCCAGAGCCCAGCAGCTCCTAGAAGTTCAGGAGAAAGGCCTGCCCTCCAGCCGCCACCGAGGGTCCCGAAATAATGTAAGCAGTGCTGGGTGGGCTGGCAAGGGCCTGGGGCGAGGGACTGCCAGGGGTGGGCTCCCAAAGGGAGAGGCCGGGTTCCATTTTCTGGAAGCCCTGTGGGGAGAAGGGGAGGGAAGCCCCCACCTCGCTCCTTCTCCTGGACGTGGTTGGTGGTCTACTGCATGCTGGGCAAACAGAACAACGGCGGGGCTTGCTGGCCAGGGGTGTTGAGAGGGTTAAAGGAGGTGGCGGGTGCCCGGTGCTCAGGAGCTGGCCTGGCCACCATAAGCACTTGACAGAGCAGCAGCCTCTCCTTTTTCCAGTCCCCGGATAAGGGCTGGGCTGGGTGAACTTCCCCGTGTCAACACGGGCAAAGTGAGGCTTGGAGAAGTAAAAATAACTCAAGAGGCCATGGTGCTTAAGGGGATGAGAACTCGGGCTCTGGAGCCAGGCTGCCCAGGCTCGAATCCCAGCTCTGCCACGTGCCTCGCCACCTTGGACCAGCACCTGACCCTCCCTTGAGGCTCTGTTTCCTCCTTTGTGAAATGGAGGAGTTACGTTGCCTGCCTCGCGGGCTTCAGTGAGCTCATGACATCTGGGGCTTAGTGAGAGTCTGGCACATTGTAGCCACTTGACACCTGGTAGCTGTTGGTGTGATTGGTGCTGTCTTTATTGTTGTTCTTTTCTTCTTACACCAGGTCACATTGGTAATTCATTGGAAGGGGTCCCAAAGTTTGTCTCTTATGTGACATTAGCTTCCTCGGGTCCCTGGGCCTCGGTTTCCCCATCTGTAAAGTCGGGGGGGTAGACCTCAGGCGCCTCTAACTGGTACTGACAAGCTTGCTTCCCTGGGCCCATAGGGTTGGTTGCCCTCGCCTGCCTGTGGTGGGGGGCTCTGCACTGGGCTGGGTGAGGGCAGGAGAAGGCCTGGTGGGGAGGGGACCCTTCTGCTGACCCAAGCTCTTCCACAGATCCCGGACATCAGGGGCAGCCCGGCCCCCTCTGCCAGGGGTCCCGTCCATCCTCTCCTCCCTGAGGGTGGGATGGAGCTGGCCTCTCAGGGCCTCCTCTTTCTCTGCCCCCTCCCCAGCTGAAGAAGCGAGCCCTGGACCAACTCCGGTTGGTGAAGCCCAAACAGGGGGGAAGCTCCGCGGGGGCTTCTCCAGAGCAGCTGTTGCTGGAGCCCTGCTCAGGTGAGCGCACTGTGGCCAAGGCATGTCCTGTGCTGGTCACGGCGTCCACGAGTGTGCACGTGTGGGGGGCCTGGGAACTTGGTGGTCCCTTTGGCTCCTCCAGCGGGGAACAGGGCGTCCAGGGATCTGAGAGGCTCCCCGTGGGGGGGGACATGGGCCACCAGGGTGGAGGGAGCCAGTCGGAGGAGGCACATGTGTGCAAGTGTGATTGTGGGTCTGTATGACTTTGGGGCACACATGAGCACAGCTCTGTTCTTGTCTGGCAGAGCGGGTGTCGCTGCGCTTCTCACATGTGTGTGCTGGCGGGCGCCACGAAGAGCCCAGAGTGGGTTTCTGGAGGCAGAAGGGGAGGCCTTGGGTTGGATCAGGGAGAAGGGCTTGGGGGAGCCCAGATGAGGGGGTAGCAATCCTGAGAGGCAAGAAGATGGTGGTTAGGGAAGACTTCCTGGAAGGGAAATTGAGGTAGGGTTTTCAGGGATGAAGAGGAGTTTGTTCCAGGCACAAGGCACAGCCGTGCAAAGGCACTGAGGTATAGCTGTGTGTGATGTGTGTGCAGGCCATTGAATACAGCAAGTGCCTATCAAACGCCAGGTCTGTCACGAATTGTGCTTGGTCCAGGGGACACCGTGGCACTTCCCCTTGGAGCACACTGCCTAGTGAGGGCGGGGGGGTGTGCAGCTGCCTGCCAGTCAGATAATTCTACCTGCAAACGTGATTACAAAGTGCGGCACGTGTACTAGAGAAGAACTGGGTGTGTTGGGGCGCATGCTGGAGACCCTGCATGGCTGGGGACCAGGGAAGGTATAACCGGGGCTCTGAAGGGAGAGTTGGGGTTATGTGGGCCAGGAGATGCTGGAGTGCGGCTAGGCCTCCCCAAGTCATGCAGAAGCCCTGTGATTGGAGGCAGTCGATCCATGTGTTGGGGCACGGGACTCGCTGCCTCTCTAGGCTCTGGCAGGGCCGGGTCACCCACGTGGAGGATGTGGCCTTCCCGAGGGTCGTGGGAAGTCACTGGCACATTGAAAGCAGGGGAGTAACGTGATCTGACTTTCGTTTTAAAGCCTCTTTCTGACTGCTGAGAGGAGAATGGTCTGGAGTGGACAAGGGTGAGGTGGGGGATGGGGCTCGACGCTGCTGTAGAGGCGCCAGCCAGGAGGGGGCAGCTCTGGGGTGTGTGTGTGTGTGTGTGTGTGTGTGTGTGTGTGTG